GCAAGTGATGTAATGCCTTGCTGAAATTGCACGTGCAGCTTACTGAACCAGGCACAAAGCAAGAGAGTAAGGCTGCACGATATTGGAAAAAACATTGCGATTTTTTTCAACCCTGCGATATATATTGCGATGTTAAAAATATAGGAATTTTCACCAGATGACCTGAATAGCATTTAATGTTATACTGCACTGCTGAAGTCTTGAGGACAGTTAACCTGCTCTGATCTTACCTCTTTTTGTGAATGTTAGAATGGCTTCTGTCTGTCTCAGAGATATTTTTAGCTTTTATTGTGCTGGGACGTTATTGTGGCAACAGATGAACACAGAACACGTGTTTTGGTCAACATCATCCTTCTTTTAACCGAAATAATTCCAGATAACTGACTTTCCTTTTCTTTTTGGCAACAAATCTTAATTTTCGGTGGTTTTCTCTTGTTCGTTGCTCATTTTGCAATCGTTGTTGTTGTTGTTGTTAGCGGTGTTGTGCCGAGAAACGCATGTCCTCCAAGAATTGCATGCACCTCGCAAAACGCGCACCGCTTATAGTAGAGTGGTCCACGGAAATATACATTTTAAAACCCATACAGTTCCCATAAAAAACCCATACAGTATTTGTTGGGCTAAACAGTCAGTAAAGTTCCGAAAGTAATTCTCAGCGGACACGGGTCTCACTCCATGTGCAGAACATGTGCAGGGGTGGGTTTCCTCCTCTCTGATTTTGATTGACAGCTGGCAGGGTAGTCTGATTGGCAACTGAGAACTGAGTCTGATTGGCAACTGAGTAAAGGACAAAGGTGATTGGTGGATCACTGCACAGCACATGCAGAGTCACATGGAGTGTATCTCAGTCAGCTACCCTTGAAATTAACTTAGTACATTCACCTCCGACATCGCAGGCTCTGCGATGTGACTATTGCACACACGTATATCGTGCAGGCCTACAAGAGAGAAAAAAAACATACATTTTTCTGCAGTAGGCTCGGGTCCTTATTGGACTCTTTCCCGGTCTGGAAGTGGACCGCGGTCCGCCATATGGAGACCACTGACCTAGATGGTCGACCATTACCATGAATCTCCTCATGATCCTCTAGCAGCTGTGATATTCGCCATTGAAAGCGTTCAGGAGCTGAGGAGATGCTGAAGAACAGTCTGTTAAAGCAGAATCTTCTATAAGGTGCCATGCCCGCACCATACCAGTTTAATCTGGGTGGGCAGCAGCTTTGGTCTCTGAGCTATGGCTTGATACTCCGTTTCTGGTAGTACTGTTACATCTGCCTCAGAGTCTATTAGAAGTTAACATTATTTAATTGTTCAAATAAAACAATCTAATTATATTTAAACAAAAGAAACTACCTACAAACCCAAAACAAAGCTTGGAGCTAAAGGAGTAGGAAGTTAACTTAACCCAAATAATCAAATGCTTTATTTAGAATTGTTTTTCTATGTTTCTTTTTTCTTTCTCTATTTGTGTAAAGCACTTTGTGTTGTATGTCCATGCAGGACAAGTGCTCTATAATTAAAAATTTGATTGATATTCATGTGTGTCTCTTCATCTTTATCAATCTTTTCTCTTATCTACCTAGTACAAGGAAGACGAGAAAATACTAGTTCACTTTGGTTTTGGCTTTTTCTGTGAATTTCTTTATGATTTGGGTGCAAAATGTGACAGAGATGATTACCAGAATGCCTTTTTTTTATCACAGCTTTGATTATCATCATTATTATTAGAAGATCATTAGAGTTCAATGACCCTTGGAGTCGCTTTGAGAAGCCTCGATCACAAAGAGAGTTTATTGGAAATATTAAATTATGATTCCACTCAGAGCCATTTGTAGGCAGTGGGCCTTAATAGGCTATGAAGCCTGTGTTACTCCCCAAAGCCATTTACACAATCTAATTCCAAGTGTTATGGCGATGTCATCTCTTTAGTTTGATAATGTCCTCTCTCTCTTTTACAGCTCAGAGCTCGGGGTGACCTCGGATCACAGCCTCCGTTCACTCTTGTTTGCAGACCTTCAGAGTGCCTCCTATGGTTTGTCATCTTCCTTACATATCAGTATACATAAAAATTATATTACAGCCCAAATGACAATAAAGAATCAGGGTGCAGTGATTAGTTCATTGTGGACAGTTTGGTCCCAACCTTCCCAGCTGATAGAAGTTTTTAAAGCTAATAGAGTTCAGGTGACTAGAGCTTGATGCATTTAGACTCTTCACAGTAACACCATGAATAAAAGAGGACTGGTAATGTCTGAGCAGTGTTGGGTCACATTACTTAAAAATGTAACTCCATTAAAACAAACTTTGTCCATGAAGACTGCCCCCTGTGTCCAACGTTGTTGGGAGTTGCATCATTTCTGTTCCATGTCACTGAACTGTGTGCTGTGTGTTGTACCTCTCGATAGCTTTCGCTCTTATTGATTATTTTTCTTCAATCTTTTAACACACCTGTTATCTGTCTTCATGTCTGAGTGAATATTTGCTAGTTTTCACCAAGTGCTATCTCCCTACTTACTACTGGGTATTTCTCTGGTACTTCTTTTAATTGTCAGCTTTGTTTCCTCCAATAGCAGCTGGCTTTACTTACCAGCAATGGCCTCTCTCTTGTCAACTGCTTCACCTGCTCACTTTTGCTTGGTGTGCCAGATGTTTAGTTACTCCTCGTCCTCCTTTAACGGAGAGGCTAGAGTTATGATGTCATCGCTAGAGTGGACAGCTGCTCTTGGACCGACAGAACCTCGCTCAAATATATCATTCCCACGCCCACAAATTTCACTCCACAGCCATAAAAAATACATCAAAATGGAGGTTTCAAATCATTAAATCATACTCCTTGGCCAGCAGGTGACCAACTGTCCGAAAAAGGCAAAGAACCCTGGCATTGGTCCTAATGTAATTTTTCTCCAAGAAAATCCTGATCATCGCTCAGGCTCAGACTTTTTTAACTCGCTGTTGTGGCCACATTTTTTGGAGTACAGACATAAAAAACACATCATTGTGTTCATGAAGGGCAGAGAATTCGTACGATGTTCTTATTTTCATTCTGGGATTTAAGGAAATCATGCTATGTGAAGAAGCCTTCAAGCCTTCTTTCTCCTGCCGTAGTTATGCATCTACCGTTCCCATGGCAACCAATTAGCGCACCTGGAGACACACAGCTGACTGGAAAGCTGCTTCTAATGGCCATATGAGACACATGAAGCCAGGCTGAGTATACAGAGCACTGGGGGTGACATTTAAAACCCTTCACTAGAGCGCTTGATGAACTTAGGCCCCTATCTCCTCCCATGAACTTTGACCTACAGAAACCATTTAGGGCTTCAAAATTTAAGCTCATTTAGGACATTATGGGGTGTATTCAGGATTTTTTTTTCATTTAAATTTTTCAAATTTTAAAGTCACTCAGTGATGATTTATTATTTATTTTTTTAAACTAATTTAAACTCATTCAAACTCATTCATACCTTTCTGATACTTAAAATCCTTCTGATACTTGAGGATTTTTAATTATTTAAATTTTCCCTGTTTAAATTAGTTTTCATATTTATGCATTATTCCATCCTTCAAACAAAATCCCACCTCTAGAGCTACAACTACTGCTAATGTCAATTAAACTAATACTTTCCCCTCTACTCCCATCTGCTATTGCTCCTATTTCTACTTTCTCTACTGCTGATATTGCTACTATTTCTACTTACTTTACAACTTTGACTTATACTTCTTTTATTCTCACTCTACTTCTACTGCTTACATGACTACTAATATCACTACTTGACTACTGATCATACTACTTCTAGTACTACAACTTAAACTTATGCCACTTCTCACCTTCCTGCCTTTTAAGGCAATTTCCTTCTTCATTCAAACTTTGTGCAATTTTAGACATTTTTCTAGCCTCTTTCAGCATGAATAAAATTTCCTTTTATAGAGCATATTCATACTATTTGTCCTTCAACCAATTAAACAATTATCCAACTTATATTTCTTTTTCACCCCTTCAACAGCTTTAACATTTATACCTTTCTCCATGTTTTATTATCAGTTTAGCATTGCTTTTTCAGCTTTCAGCACTCAGCATTTCCACACATTTTCTGCAAGGAAATGCAATTTTTCTAGTTATTATTCCGCCGTTTTTTTGTGCCTTAACTACTTCAACATACTTCAACGTATTCAAACCATTCAAACTTCAAAATATTCATCTCATTGAGGACATTCAGGGGTGTATTCAAAATTTTCCCAACATTCATAATTTCCGTGATATTCCCGGTTTTACAATGGATTTCTCCCATTAGAAATGCATTACGGATGTTCAAAACAGCTTCTTTTCTCCCTTTAATTCAAAAGCCTTCAACTCCGCCATACTTCAACTTAGAAACTTCATTCAAACTTTAAAATATTCACACACGCGCTGCAGAACAGTAATATTCCTGCTGTCACACCAGCCCTCGTTCACGATGATGGCTACACCGCCCCCGATCGACTTCTTGGACTCCTCGAAAGGTCTGTCGGACGGATACGCGGAGAACTTCTCCATCGGTTTCATAGAGTGGTCTTCTTTGGATGGATTTAACCAGGTTTCGCTCAGAAGGACAATGCTACAATTCCTTATGTCTTGTTCACAAGTGAAACATAAGCAAAGATCGTCCACCTTCTCGACGTTTAGGGACTGGACATTGGCAAGCAGAATACTAGGCGGGGAGGCTTGTGTACGCGAGCCCTCAGGGAGTGCTTCACTTCCCCGCATTTGCCTCTGAATCTTCTCCTCTGTGTTTGATGATCCGCTGCCCTCAGAATCTCAGCCGGGAACGAGCAAAGCCGAACATCAGATGGACTCTGTATGAGATGAGTTGACAATCCGATTTCTATGAGTGCCTGGGTGCTATATGTGATTATTCCCAGCGCTGTTTTTGTAAAGATGTCCACTGTTATCAGCCAGATTAAGCACGGATAACATAGCTTTAGTGGAGCTGACTTGATGGCTGCGGAAGCTGTCTGCACCATCTTAATTTAATTTAAGGTGATTTAAGTTGACACTCAATTGCAGTTTACTCTAGTTCTATTTTATTGATGTAAGTTAGGCTGATGTACGTGTCTGCAGCATTGGTCCAGGGAAGCCTAAGAGATGAAGGAGCTCAGGGCCTGGGGTGTACAATCAAAGGTGATGCAGTTGGGGTCAGGCAGTTCCACAGCACATCGTCTGCAGCATTAGTCCAGGGGAAGCTAAGAGACTCAGAGACACTCAGAGAGAGAGAGAAATCTGGTTAGTGACTTATATGGGACATAAAGATCTGTCGGAGCGATAAAGACAAACAGGAGCTCAGTGTGCCAGATAACCTCGGCAATCTAAACCTATAGCAGCATAACTAAGAGCTGGTTCAAATCAGCCCCAACTATAAGCTTTATCAAAGAGGAACGTTTTAAGTCTACTTGTGGTGAGACGCCTCCTCATCCTGTGTTATTTTGGCTGGACTTCTTGTTTTTCCCTATCTGCCTGTTCTGGCTGTGCTCTTTTCCAGGGCTTCCTCCCCTCCCCCGGCGCTGAGGCTGAGTGAGACGACACACCTGCTACTCGTCTCCAATCAAGGGACTTTAAGAAGCCTGCAGCCCTCAGTCTCAGCGCCTGAGTATTGTCTACCCTGCCCAGCGGTAAAGACGCGTCTCCTGGCCAAAACCTTGTGGTATAACTTTCTGAACTTTACTCCTTGTGACTCGTTGCATGTCCCTTAACTCCTGTCTCCTCTGGTTTCTCCTGCAGTGTCTCCAGCCCACACGACAGCCAGCCTACCAGCCAACCAACCGGACTTCCTTTGTTCCCTTATCTATCCCTTTCTGTTTTTGGACATTAAAATCGTTTTACGTTGAGCTCTGTCTCAGTGTCTGCTTCTGGGTCCTCACTACAAGCCTGCCGCACAACAGAATACTCAGGCCAGGAGAATGGACCCAACAGACCCAGACCGAGTTCAGCTAGCCGTCCAGAAGCTCGGCACGCGGATTGGCCAACATGAGGAGATGCTCCAGAGTCTCCATCAGTCGCTTCATGGCCTCTCCATTCAAATGTCGCAGCTGGCGGAGCAACTACTCCCTCGGCCTCCACCACAACAACCAGGATTCCCCCCCTCTGTGAGTACAGTCCCCTCTTCACCTCCTCCACCACCCGCTACCCTCAAAGAGCCCTATGTCCCTCCTCCTGAGCCGTATGCTGGGGAGATTGGGGGCTGCAGAGGTTTCCTGCTTCGTTGCGCCTTAGTATTTGACCAACAGCCCATTAGCTACCCCTCAGATCGAGCTAAGGTCGCTTACACCATTAATCTGCTAAGAGGTAGGGCCGCTAAGTGGGCTACAGCCGTCTGGGATAGGGACTCACCTCTGTTCACTTCTTATGCCCGCTTTTCCGAAGAGCTCCGGAGAATATTTGATTTTCCTGTCGAGGGCCCCGAGTGTACCAAACGGCTATTTTCCCTCACCCAGAGCTCTCGGTCAGTGGCGGAGTACTCCATTGAGTTCCGTACTGTGGCGGCCGAGAGTGGGTGGGGGGACCTCGAGTTAAAGGGGATATTCACTCGGGGTCTCTCTGAACAATTGAAGGATGAGCTAGCGACTCGTGATGAGCCCTCCTCCCTGGAGGAGCTAATAGCACTAGCTATTAGAATTGATAATCGCCTCAGGGAGAGACGGAGGGAGAAGAAAAACCATTCCTTAGTCCCTAGAATAGACTCCCCTTCCTCTGTTGCGGTCAGCAGGTCTCCTCTGCAGCCCTCAGTCTTCCCGGATCCGGCGCCATCTGCAGGTGAACCCATGCAGATCGGCCACACTAAGCTTCACCCGGATGAACGGAGAAGGAGGGTAGAGAAGAGGCTGTGCATCTATTGTGGCCAGGCCGGTCACTTTCTAATCAACTGCCCAAACAAGTTAAACGGCCAGGCTCATCCGTGACTGAGGGCACACTGATGAGCCATACCTCCTCCGTTGCCAGCTCTCCCAAACGCATCCTGGTACCTGCTTGTCTCCTGTGGGGAAAGGAGTCCACTTCCCTCCAAACCCTTATTGACTCTGGGGCGGATGATAACTTCATTCATGCTGGACTGGCAGCGCGGCTTCAGCTCCCCCTGGAGGAACTCCCGGCTCCCCGTAAGGTCACCGCTCTCGATGGCAGAGTTATAGCCTCCATCACCCACTGCACAGTTCCTCTCACCCTCATCCTCTCCGGAAATCATCGGGAGGACATCCGGCTGTTCCTGCTTCCATCTCCTCACTCTCCCCTGGTGCTGGGACTCCCTTGGCTACAAATCCACAACCCTCAGATTAACTGGTCCACATCTTCAATCTCCGCCTGGAGCCCTCACTGTCACTCCCACTGCCTCCGCTCCGCCAATCCTCACCTCCACCGACAGAAGTCAGCATCTCCACCGCCATCTCTCACCTCGGTTCCCCCCGTCTACCATGACCTAGCAATGGTATTCAGTAAGGAGCAGTCTCTCATTCTTCCTCCTCATCGCCCCTATGACTGCGCCATAGACCTGCTCCCTGGAGCCCCTCTTCCCAGTAGTAGACTGTACAACCTCTCTCGGCCCGAACGAGAGGCCATGGAGGACTATATTCAAGACTCCCTGACCTCAGGACTCATCCGACCCTCATCTTCTCCCCTGGCTGCTGGTTTTTTCTTCGTGAAGAAAAAAGATTCCTCTCTCCGTCCCTGCATTGACTTCCGTGGATTAAATGATATCACCATTAAAAACAAATATCCCCTACCACTCATTGATCCCTCCTTCGAACCTCTCTGTCAAGCCACCATCTTCTCAAAACTGGACCTCCGGAATGCCTATCACCTGGTTCGCATCCGGGAGGGGGACGAGTGGAAGACGGCCTTTAACACACCCATGGGCCACTTCGAATACCTGGTCATGCCCTTTGGCCTCACCAACGCTCCTGCTGTGTTCCAGACCCTCATTAATGATGTCCTCCGCGACATGATTAACAAGTTCGCCTTCGTCTACTTAGATGATATTCTGATCTTCTCCCGAAACCTGGAGGAACACCAGCAGCACGTCCGACTCATCCTTCAGCGCCTCCTCGAAAACCGCCTTTTCGTGAAGCCCGAAAAGTGCGAGTTCTACGCCTCCTCCGTCAGTTTCCTTGGTTACATCATCGCCCAGGGGGAGCTACGCCCAGACCCAGAAAAAGTCCGCGCTGTCCGTGACTGGCCCACCCCCTCCTCCCGCAAAGACCTCCAGCGATTCCTCGGCTTCGCTAATTTCTATCGACGGTTCATTAAGAACTACAGTAAGGTCGCAGTTCCCCTCACCCGGCTCACATCCCTAAAGGTTCCATTCTCCTGGACCCCCGAAGCAGACGCCACCTTCCATCACCTCAAATCCCTCTTCATCTCCGCCCCGGTGCTCAAACATCCAGATCCCTCGCTTCAGTTCATGGTGGAGGTCGACGCTTCGGACTCTGGAGTAGGGGCCGTCCTTTCACAGAGGGACTCTCAGACCCAGAAGCTTCATCCTTGCGCCTTTTTCTCCCGGAAACTCTCAGCCACGGAACAAAATTACGACGTGGGAAACCGTGAATTACTGGCTGTCGTGTGGGCACTGCAAGAATGGAGACACTGGCTGGAAGGAGCTTCCCAACCGTTTCTAATCTGGACAGACCACAAGAACCTGCAATACCTCCGCTCCGCTCGTCGCCTCAACCCCAGGCAAGCCCGCTGGTCCCTTTTTCTCAGCAGATTCAATTTCACCCTCTCCTATCGTCCCGGCTCCCGCAACCTCAAACCAGACGCCCTCTCTCGGATCCACGCCTTGGATACTCCGGACCCCAGTGAACCAGACACCATCCTCCCCGCCTCCTGTGTCGTCGGCTCCACCACCTGGGAGATCGATACTATCGTGGACCAGGCCCTCCGGAACCACCCAGACCCCGGAACCGGCCCGCCGGACAGAAAGTTCGTCCCTGAGGTCGCACGCTCTCAGGTCCTACAGTGGGGGCACTCCTCCAAGCTCACCTGCCACCTCGGGTTTCAACGCACCCTCCAATTCCTCCAGCAGCGGTTCTGGTGGCCGGGGATGGTCCGGCACGTACGGGCGTTTGTTGCTGCCTGCTCCGTCTGTGCCCGAAGCAAAGCCTCCCACCAACCTCCGGCTGGCTTGCTGCGTCCTCTGCCTGTGCCTTCACGCCCCTGGTCCCACATAGCCTTAGATTTCGTCACTGGTCTCCCTCCCTCTGAAGGTAACACTGTCATACTCACCATCATTGACAGATTCTCCAAATTTGTTCACTATGTCCCTTTACCCAAGCTCCCATCTGCCTTCCAAACTGCTAACCTCCTAGTCACTCATGTATTTCAATTACATGGGATTCCCCGTGACATCGTGTCAGATCGTGGTCCTCAGTTTTCCTCTCAGGTCTGGAGAGCTTTCTGCCAGGCAGTGGGCGCAGCAGCTAGCCTCTCCTCGGGTTACCACCCACAAACCAATGGCCAGACGGAGCGGGCTAATCAGAACCTCGAGTCGGCCCTGCGGTGTGTGGCGGCCCATCATCCAGCGTCCTGGAGTACGCACCTCCCGTGGATCCAATACGCCCATAACTCCCTCACCTCTTCAGCCACAGGTATGTCCCCATTCATGTGCTGTTTTGGGTACCAGCCCCCCCTGTTTCCCGAACAGGAGCAACCTGTGGCCGTCCCGTCGGTGAGGGAGCACATTGGGCGTTTACGGGAGGTGTGGAGATCGGCCAGGGCCGCACTCACCCGCACGGCCGAGCGCAACAAACGCCTGGCTGACGTTCACCGCTCTCCAGCACCAGACTATCGTCCTGGTCAGATGGTCTGGTTATCGTCTCGTGACCTTCCCCTGCAGACCGAGTCCCGCAAGCTGTCCCCCCGCTTCATTGGTCCCTTCCCTATCCAGAAAATCATCAACCCTTCAGCGGTGAGATTAAAACTTCCCTCATCTCTCAAAATTCATCCCACATTCCATGTCTCCTTGTTAAAACCTGTTGCCTCATGCACCCTGAGCCCTCCTTCCGTCGCCCCTCCACCCCCCGATTGATTGATGACCACCCTGCCTTCACTGTAAGGAAAATCCTGGACGTGCGGCCTCGGGGGCGAGGCTTCCAATACCTCGTGGACTGGGAGGGTTACGGTCCAGAGGAACGTTCCTGGATCTCCCGCTCCCTCATCCTGGACCACCAACTCCTGGAGGAGTTCTACGCTGCCCACCCCAACAAGCCCGGCAGAACGCCAAGAGGCGTTCGTTAAGGGGGGTACTGTGGTGAGACGCCTCCTCATCCTGTGTTATTTTGGCTGGACTTCTTGTTTTTCCCTATCTGCCTGTTCTGGCTGTGCTCTTTTCCAGGGCTTCCTCCCCTCCCCCGGCGCTGAGGCTGAGTGAGACGACACACCTGCTACTCGTCTCCAATCAAGGGACTTTAAGAAGCCTGCAGCCCTCAGTCTCAGCGCCTGAGTATTGTCTACCCTGCCCAGCGGTAAAGACGCGTCTCCTGGCCAAAACCTCGTGGTATAACTTTCTGAACTTTACTCCTTGTGACTCGTTGCATGTCCCTTAACTCCTGTCTCCTCTGGTTTCTCCTGCAGTGTCTCCAGCCCACACGACAGCCAGCCTACCAGCCAACCAACCGGACTTCCTTTGTTCCCTTATCTATCCCTTTCTGTTTTTGGACATTAAAATCGTTTTACGTTGAGCTCTGTCTCAGTGTCTGCTTCTGGGTCCTCACTACAAGCCTGCCGCACAACACTACTCTTAAAAGTTGAGAGGGTGTCTGCCCCCCGAACTAGGGCTGGGTATTTCCTACAACCTCACGATGCGATAAGTATTCTGATACAGGGCCCACGATATGATACGTATCGCGATACGCGTACATTTTAAATAATGACATCATCCTTTCCACAATTAACCACAGTCCTTTATTTAAAATACATAAATAAAAATGGGGCTGCATAGTTGCATGTCGTACAACTTACATTCAAGTCCTCAGAAGTCCTTAAAGTTAGATTAAAAATTCTTGTTATTCAAGAGATAATAGAAAAATAAGAATACAACAAAATATTGAACTGAAAGTGTACCCCTTTGCTTTTTTCTTCTCTAAAAAAAACATTATTGCAATTATGTCAATCTGGCTTATCAGGACTGTATTTAGAAAAAAATATTTTTTCTGTAACATAACCATATAAAGTGCTCAAAATATAGAACTATCCTAATGTAAACATTAACCCCAAACAATGTGCAGAAACAATTTTTAACAAAACAGGGTCACAGAATCTTAAACAAGAGAAATTGTTTTATAAGGAATGTTTCTGTTATTAAGAAAAAAGCTCCTCCAACTTTATCTAAACTCAGCTTTCAACATAATGAGATAACTTAGTTTTTATTTTTTGCAAAGATGGGTTCAGTTTTTAGTTTTCTGTCTGAATATCCATGAGATTAAAGTTTAAACAAACTAAAACCCTGCACAAACAGCTAAGGCTTAACACATTTTCAGGTTTTTGTGCATGCTCAACATGCTCAGGTCAAAGAGCACTTCTCTGATGTCTCCTGCAGTGGAGAACACCCTCTCTGCAGCTACACTGGTACCTGGGATGCACAGGATACTTCTGGCCAAGCTAGAAAGTAAGGGGATAGCAGCCTGGTGCTCACTCCACCAGCAGAGTGGTTTTCTAGTGAGAGCCAGTGGATTTGCCTCTTTGTATTTTCTAATTTCATCCCCTGCCTGATCATTTAGTGACACAAATGAGTCCTTTTGTTTGGGAAGAGCAAATGTCTCTTCAAACAAATCTGCAAGAGCACAAGCAGAGTCATTTTTTTCTCTTGCTGGGTGGGCAAGATGAACCAATCTCAGCCGCTTCCTCTTCTGCTTCTCTTTCTTTCATACCTTTGTACAACTGCGGCACCGCTGTTTCTGTGATGAACCGACGAGTGGGGATGACATAGTGTGGCTCACACTCGTTAAGCAGCTGCCTGAATCCTTCCTCGTCCACCACGCTGTCCTTACAAATAAAGTGCAAACGTGCCTTTGTAATCTTCTGTGCATGTGCAGAAGTAGGTGGGTATTAGGATTTAAAAGTGTCATTCAGTTTTGGTTGAGACGGCACATATTTCACGGGTGTAGCATGGTTAGCACCTCCTGCTAGTGCCTGTTGCTCTGGTTGGTGTCTCGCTATGTGGAGATGGAGGTTGGTCATATTACTGCTGTATTTGACCTTACATTTCAAAGTCTGCAAACTGCATAGCTCATGTCCAACTCCTGACCTCCGGCTGATCTCAAAAATCCAAAATGCGCCCATATCTTTGCTTTTAACTTGGACGGTGGTGGGTAAACTTTCTCTTCCATACTTCTTCTATTTTGGTGAAAATGTGTAGATCGGCTTCTGCTGCCAACTCTGGCCGCTATGTGTACTGCACCTAAAAAAACGTCTTGAAACGCCAGTCCCAGCATCTGTGGAAATATTGATTATTTTAAAGTGTGTATTGATGCAAGTATCAGCAAAAATTCGTGACGATATCCTGCCGTATCGATTTTTTGAACACAGCCCTACCCCAGGACAAGATTTTCAAAAGAGTTATAATCCAGTTTTGGTCTAAGGTTAATTCGAAGATTGCTTCAACTCCACCACCTCGGCCAGAGTCCTGAGGAATGTGAAGGCTTAGGTGGCTAGGAGGAGTGGATTCATTTAAACTGACATATTCATCCTGACACAGCCAAGTTTCAGTCAGGGAGAGTAATCAGAGATTAGTTCATTTATTAACACAAATTTGGAACTTAGAGACCTTATGTTCAGTAGACCACACTTTATCTTACTACTCAGTTCAGCTATGTTAGCAGTTTTAATTCTAGTAAGATTCTTGTTTTTTACTCCTTTGTTAATCGATCAGTTAGAATTAAAGAGCCGAGGATGAGGGACAGACACAGTCTCTTTATTAAAGTGATACTAACGAGGAGGCTGCTCTAACAAAAGTGCAGAGAAGCATGTAGGACTGTAGCTCTGCTCCCTGGTCTCTATATCAAACTGATTGTAGCTAGGCAGTTGCTCTGAGGGGAATGCAGAGGAGCGTGTAGGACTGTGGCTCTGCTCCCTAGTCTCCGCTCTAAATTGTCAGTGATAAGGACTAATAAAATCGGCCAGATTTCTGGATAAACGTCTTTGGAGATAAAGACAGTGCTTGGTGAAAACTATCAGATATACTCACAGACTTTTAAACAAACAGATGTATTGATAAATTAAAAAGAGAAAATAACCCAAATAGCAAGAACGCTATCAGGAGGAGCAAAACACTACACACACAGTTCAACAGCAAGGAACGGAATCATCCAATGTGCATGTTCACCAGTCAGGAGGAGGAGTCAGGAGTTCAGGTCGGTTTAAGCTGTAAACTATATTTAAGCAGCGTAATTTGCAAAATGAACACTTCAATGAAAGGTAAATAATCGTGAGATATAACATTTATGTTGAGAGTCTTGCACCATCTGGGAGTGATGCGTTCAGGGCAGCCTCAGATAAAAGAGTGCTGTATTGCACACACTGATGTTCAGAGAGCCTCATACAGAAGAGCATTCAAACATATGAGGACTTTAACAGCAATATTAGTGGACTAAATAAGTTCAAGGCATATCGTAGCCATTCTTTTTTTTTTTGTTACCATTTGTTTTTGTTAAAACAAAACAAAAAAGTGTGCAGCTTCACTTATACTTATTACTTATAAATATACAGATTTTACAAACCCAAATGTTGGCAGGTATGTCATATAGATTCTGGATTGTGATTATACCATAGACTGTATATAGAATGGACAGCGTCTGCCTCCTTGCTGGGTGAAGCCACTCCGAGAACAACACCCTCTGTTGACGGGCTGCAGTATAGGTCATAAATCCCGCTTCTGCCAGCATAGCTTATGGAGCTGTGGACAAACTTTAGAAATTTACTACACAGAACATAAATTTTTCTTCCCATTGCTTGCGATGTTGACATGCAGTTACAGTAAGACTGGTTTGTGCTCAAGTCCTTTTTTTTCTGTGAAGCTCCGTTTTTAAAAGTTATTAGGGGGTTCATGTTTTCTCTGATTGACACCTGCTACAGCCTATTGGCATTCAGGGATTGCATAGCTCACCAGGGGGGATACGCTGTTTGAGCTAACTGTCATCACAGTGCCTCTCGACGACTTTCCCACCGAATGCACACAATGCTACTGCACAATGCTGGTTTCAGGAAATGAAGAAAAATCCCAGAAATACTGAGAGCTTTTTGGCTTCAAATCTGTATACAACCAAGTTGTCCATAGTATAAACAGTCTATGGATTACACACACACACACACACACACACACACACACACACACACACACACACACACACACACACACACACACACACACATAATTTAATCTACAACAAAACTGTAAAACCACAAACAATTGAATTTCCCTTTGGGGATAAAATAAAGTCATTATTATTATTATTATTATTATATGTGTGTGTGTCCCAATCCAATTACTCTTTTTTTTACTGCTTAAAGTGTTCTCTGTGGTCTTTAAATTGTGATTATGATTTTTTTTGCCAAAAGCATGTCACCTGTGTCATTTTCAAGGGCTTTTCTTCTGTAGAGCTCCAGCAGCTCATTTGCAATTCGCCTCTCAGTCGTGGGTGGAGACAGCGCTGCTCTGCACACTTCTCTTCACGCTAGATTGGAGCCTAACATTACCGGTGTAGTAGAAGTGGCAGGTAACATCGTAGCTGTTCAACTCTGAGACACTGGTGTCTTCTGGGACATAATGACATAATTAGCTTTCTTACGAGCATTGCAATCCGCTTACACACATGCTTGTTCCGCGATCGTCGTCTCTACTGTCTGAGCAGTTTTGCCAGATGAAATTATCATACCAGATACTCAAAATTATTTTATTCGTGGGAAAACTATCGTAATCAAAATAACAATCTGCATTGCATGATAGTCACTTATAGTCACCCTGTTTTGTGCCCATTTGTTGCTACAGTTTTTTTTTTTTTTTTGTCATTTACTGCCCCGCCCCACATAATCAGCGTATGATCAGCAGCTCCAACTCAGCTGTGTTACACTAATGCGTTTCCTTTAAGAAAATGACAGGTGGGAACTAATGGGCCGAAAAATGGCACCTTGACGCTACCTACTTTTTAAAAAAACAGTATTCGTAATAACTGACAGAAAAACAAAGGGTTTTAGATTTGAAATTCAGATTTGGCCACAAATCATTTTTCTCATCTGACTTCCCAACTGAGCATTTTTGACAACCAATGATGCTCGACAAACACTATTAACCAGACATTAACCATCATTGTCACCCTTTGTTTCGATGCAAACGGAGACTTCGCCCCTGAAAATGATGCTTTTTAAAATCTCCAGCCAGAGGGGAGATTTTGGAACTCTGTTTGCACGTTTGACATGTAAACAGAGAAAAACAGAGATTTGGGGCCTATTTTACGAAGCAGGATTACTGCTTAGCAAGGTAACTTCAAGAGTAAATTCGGGGTTTCCTGTTCTACAACGCGGGTTCACTTCTTAGCGAGATGAGTCTTCATGACAACGTACCCTGAATGGCTAACCTGCTCCGGGGCAGGTTAGGTTCCAGATTGAACTCACGAGTAAAAAAACCCCACCCACTGACCAATGAGCTCTCTCAAAAAATAGCTTGTCCGTTCTTGGAGGATCCTATAGACCTCGGTGCTTGCATTGTCTGAGGAGCACTCTGGCGCGTGAAGGTTTTCAGCGACTGCACAGACCCACTTACTTTTCCGGATGACCACCTTTATAAAAGGCTCATATGGCCTACATACCACACAAAAAAATGCAAACATGATAGAAATAAACAAATTAATGAATTCATCTTGGAAATGAATTAGACACGTCTGGTGCATGTTAAAAGCGCATGTTGAACAGTGCTATTTCAGGGTGACAATGGCATCAAAGATTTTTTGCGCACTACACTTTTTTTTCTGCCAGAATTCCTTCCGTGCTTTTGCAGCGGCGACAGTGTTGCTTTTGAGGTTTATAATAGATTTGAATTCTTCATACTTTCTCCTGCTCCCCATTTGTAAAGTATGCGGTCCTTCGCTCTCTGGCCTGCTCTGACGCTCCAGACTGGTCCATGTTCGCGGTTGGTCAGATGCAGCGGGCTTCGCCTTAAATGCGTGCACGCGCTCATAGCAAAGCTGGATCCACTTAGTAGGTTGATAACCAGTGTTGTAAGACTGTTTAGCGAGACCGCTGGCTACCGCGCTAAGTTGAACGAGGTAGCTCCAAGGCTACCTCGCTAGGTCGAACTTGCTTCGTAAAATAGGCCCTTGGTTAGCCGATGGCAGATTGTGCGCTGAAACTGAGTTAAATGTGATGCTGTTTACAATCTACAGTCTGTGTTTACAATCTTTGGTGATCATGGATGCATGCAGAATAGCAGTCACATTTATGCTGGTGCCATCCTTTTGTATTTTTTTGCATTTGCAAATACAAGTGCTGTACTATGTGGAAGAGGAGAGATGTTGTTGCTGCAATGCAGGAATTTGATTGGCTATCGTGGGCTTGAGCTACTCGCTACACTGCCACCTACAGGTTTGGCATGCTTTTGATGGCATATGTTTACACAAGTTCATTTAAACAAAAACTTTTCTGAAAACATAGTGGTGTGCACACAGTTTTTTTTTTTTTCTGTAAACGGAGAGGGTGAAATATCAGTTAATGAAAATAGCCGGGCACATGCAAATGTAGTCTGAGCCTATTGTTTGGATGTGCCAGAGGTATACAGCAATTTGAATGCAGAAATACTCAGAAATGCAATTTTGCACTTACTTTTCTCATTATATGTCCTGTATGTCACGAACCACAGCACAGACTGGAGGATACAATGGCAAGACACCAATACAGTTAATCAAACAGACAGGGTTTAACGAGGTTCAGGCAAAGGTTGGTACACAAAAAGGCAGTCAGATCAGGCAGAGGTATCAAAAATGTCAGGCAAAAGGCAAGATCTAAAAAGGCAGGCAAAGGTAATGCACTGCTTGGCGAAACTATGAATAAATGCTGGAAAGAGAATGCTGGAAACAAACTGGCGACAAGACTGTGAGACACACAAGGTAAAATACAATAGATGAGGAACAGGTGGAGAGACACAATCAGGTGGCAGGTGTGACAAGACGGGGGCAGGGCAGACCAGACAGGAACAAATCTAGAGGACAGAAACAAGGGTAAGTGATCTGCAAAATAAAACAGCTTGAAATGCTTGACATGAAACAAAACGTGAATGTGCAGAAATAAAGGAAACTTAACCAACATGAATGTACTGAAAAATAAAAGAGAAATTTGACCGACATGACGCTGTAGCATCCAAAAAATCCCATATTAACAAGTAGACAACAAGAAAAACATGATTTTCATCAGAGTGGGTCTTTAAGGTTTTTTTAGAACTCAAAAGAGCAGAGGTAAAAATCACACAAATCCAAACTCAAGGAACTAAAATTGGATGCAGGTTTATTATGTCTATGAGTAGGATGACCGGACCAAGATGGCCTCCTTATTGCAAGTGCCCCAGCAGCTGATGCATCTACTCTTCATTATGTCTATATGGCACTGACAGCCTGGCATTTGTCCGCTATGACTTACAATGCATTCCAGCTGTACACAAATGTTGGAATTTCCGAATTCCAAGTCAGAATTTTAGTCAGAATCCTCTGTGAAGTTAGATCTCCAACTCAGAAAGTTATATTAATCGCACCAGGTTGACATCCTATCTGCTACTCATGTTAACAGTCATTACATGTTTTGTTGTACGTTTGTAAGGCTCAGAAGCGCTGGAGCACTCAACTTTAAGGTCACATTGTTCCAAGCCCCAAGTTCCAACTTTCAGTGAAAATTGAACACCCCTTAAGAAGGAAGTGGTAGCTGTACCTGTTAAGGTGATCAGAGCAGGTGAAATCAATGAATAAGCAAAATGAACAAACCAAAACAAATCAAATCATCTTTAAAAGAAACAAAGAATGTAAGTAGGCAATCCTGCACCTTTGACCTTTCTCAGATGTGGAGATAATTGTTTTGTAATGTTTAGTAGCTAGTTTGACATTAATAAATTTCATTTGCTCTTACTTGTAGTAGGCTAAATGTAAAATTGAAGTATTTGGGGGCTGAAAGGGGAAAGCTTTAAAGCTGACACATAAGATAAAATAGAACATGCATTTATTTGAAAAATAAAATCCAAACAATAAGTCCTCAGATGTACAGATTGACAGATGTACATCTTGTGGGGCCTTTATGGTGCTCAAACTCCTTGCTCTGGACTTTCTGTTATACAGATTGCGGTACCTAGAATGAAAAGAAGGAGAGTGTGGTATGAAGATATTACTCTGTCTAAAATATCTGTTGTACTTATTTATTTTTTTATCTGTAAACTTTCCAGGCTGCATCATCACTCACACACAGAAAGAATAAATAACTTACATTATTTCCGTTTTATTTATTATCTGAGTCTGAACAATGTTTTATTTTGACCAATGACTGTGTAGTGATTTGAAATGAGCCTCATACGGTCGCACCAAAATATATGTAGCGATTTGAAATGAGCCTCACAAGGCCGCACCAAAATAATACTTGGCGATTGGAATTTATAATAAATGTCTGAAGATTAATAATCTCAAATTATGACATTTATGCACTCGTTGAAAGGGGCACCACCCACCCTTAATGGTGGGAAAATAAAGAAAACAAAAGTTTAATTCAGAAATCAAACATCAAGTCAGTCTTAATTAATCAGTCTTAATTAATCAGTCTCATATCTTAAGTCGAAATTCTAATTTCAGGGACTCCACTTCTGGAAGAACACTAACAGACAGTAACTTAGAAAAATAATGATCTGTTTATTACAGGATAAATGATGGTACAACACACATGCAATAAATGATGATAAGATAATGAGGATAAAATAATAATAGGTGAATAAATAAAGATTCTGAGTCAGGCTAAGAGCACTAAAGTTAATGATAGTGAGTGAATATGCGCTAACATATTAACCTACCCTAACTTTGGTGTCGAGATAAACTCGGATGTGGATTTGGAGGAATCTAAGATTACCAGAATAAGCGGATATCTGAGTTATGAACGCAGGAGACAGCACCAGCCCTCTTTAGAGCTCTGGAGGTTTGCATACTTAAGTGAGACTGGTCCTTGGAGAAGATGGAGCAGGTTCCGAAGGTCCGGGCTACTGGCGGTTCGAGCGGTTCAGCTCAGAAGACGACTGAAGTCAGCCGAAGGATGAGCCAGGAGTTGCAGCACTCGGGCCCGAAGCAAAGCCAGCGCCTGTGGATCCTGTGGACGCTCGTTTGGGTACTTCTTTGGTCTCACTCAAAAACTCTGGCACAGAGGATGACCTGGGCCTGTTGGGTTGCGTTCGGAGGTGACTTTGAAATCACGCAGAAAACTCAGAAAAACGAGGCTCGAAGAGCAGAGAAAACTTTCAAAAATGGCTTCGCGAAATTAAAGAAAAATCAATCAAAGGCTTAATCTTGAATTGCTATGTGCACAAAAAGTTGAAGTTTCAAAACTTGAACTAAGACGATGTTAAAGAAAAATCAACGTGAATCAACACGTGGCGTAAAACTTAGTAGACCAAGAAAAAGTTCTAAGAGAAAACAAAGAAACGCACCACAGAAGGGTGTGGGCAGAAGAGAAGGGCCCAAGAGTAAGGGGCCTAAGAGAGACAGGAGAGTCAGCACACAAGAGAAAAAAGGCATAAGAGAGAGAAGAGCAACCCGACTTCACTGGTTTTATCTTCTCACACTGGGGGTGGCTCCGGCGTGTGTGTGAGGAGACAGAGGAGGGGTCGTGTGGTCTTTGATTATTTGATCTAACTTATTCTTTTGGCTGGCAAAAGAGTCAGATCTGATACTCACTCACTATGATTAATATCATTGAATGTTTGGTTTCATGATAAATAATTTGATACTAAACACATATGAATGAAGTGTAGGATCACATCAAACATTCTCATTATGTTTTAAGTATCACATTGAACATGCTAAATTACTCTGAAATGAAACAGATAGTAACACATGGAAACTGTGAACAACAAAAGAGTAAATACATGTGAATGAACGTCATCATGATTAATAATGGATTCTAAATACTCACATTAAGGTTATTCAATGACATTATAACCACCTAATGGTTAAAAATACTAAATAAACGATTAAAATATAGAACAAACATTTCTAAACCATTTCTGTTAATTAGAGCTAAGTTATGAGTCACAATCAATAAATTTAACTCTTAAAAGTTCATGAAACAGTCTGAAAAGCTGTTGGTCTAAAGATATCCGGAGTGATAATTTGGCTTCTAAAGCACATAGAAAAACGGGAAACATCTCATTTTAACACAAATTTCATGATTAGACAGATTAGTACATTGCTGAATGCATAAGATGTCAGGATCAGTCATTTGTATTCTTTCACCAAAGGAATGTAGTCTTTATCAGTGCATGGTCGAGCAGGGTTTTACGACCGAGGTCTGGAGGTCAGTGTCCCCCCTTTTCCTAGGGTCCGTATGTTCACACACTTTAAGACACTAAATCTCAAATGGGAGATCTGGGTTGAGACGTTAATGTTTATTTAGATGGTCAGCAAATGGAGTCAGTTTGAAAGGTAATAAAACTCTGTCTCTGTTCTCCGAATTGACCAATCGTGAAGAGTCAGAGGTTTAGTCAACCTCCGGTTGGGTCACTTATTTAACCTGAAAGTGCAAACACGTCTGGAAAGATTTATATCCTGTTTCCTGGGACCAGATAAGGAAACTTTCCTGTAAGGAATGTGTGGGTTTCACATCCAGGGTTGTCTTGATTGCTACAGTCCCCCCTTCGTCACGGTGGTCCTGTCCATGGAGCATCGGGACGACGAGTAGACAACCATGAAGCAGCAGCAGCAGCAGCAGGTGTATGCAAATAGGACTGATGCGTCTCATCGTCACTATGTGAATCACTATTACTGCTTTAAGATAACATCAAGCATGCATTAAGCTATCAAATAAAATCGTCTAGTTGTTAGACTTTTCTCAGTTAACTATTGGTAGACTAATGTGAAAGAAAATCTCCTAATTTTTAGTATTACTAAGATTTAGAAAAGCACTCGTTAGTCTGAATGCTAACTGGATCTACAGCTATAGCTGTTTTTCATGCTTGCTGGAGAAGTCTGAAAGTTCAATTTCAGTTTCAAAAATGGTTAAGACTTAGGTGGAAAAGAAATGTCTGCTATAGACATATTAACCATCTGTGTATGAGCATAGTCAACCTGAATCACAAACATCAAAAGTTTACTGCACAGAGTTTCTCTTAAACTTTGTCTGTTAAACTTGGGGATGATGCTCTTATCGGTTTGACTAATTATCTGCTATTAAGTCTGAAATTTGTCAATCTGAGTCTTAATGACAGAAATTTCAGGTTTTAATCTGTTCATGGGATATTTGACAGCTGACAAGCTGACTATATTGACAGAGGAGAGACAAATGCTAACAAAGAAAGCAGCAACTGGGATTGCAGTCATCAATGTATCACCACAGCATTTGGATATCTTATTGGAGTCATTTAGCTTTGGCTGGGTGACTTCTGCTTTCGCAGGACTCACACCTTCATGACTCCACAGTGTTAATCTCAGTGGTTAGCTGAGTAGTCATGTTTATTCACCTTCAAAGTGGATGAAACCGATTGAGGTGGATAATAAGATCGTCGTTTCTGAGAGTGTGATTTACTCTGATTCTGCCAGTCATTCACCCCCCTTTGGTGGTGTTGGTGGTTTTTCCTTTGTCTGGGATAAAACCCACCGTGACGGGAGTCTGAATAACAACAGTTGGTCTCAAAGTTTACCGGGCATTGGTCTGTGTCAGACCTGGGCCTTGGTGTGTAACTTTGACCTTTGTGAGTGTGTTGAGGTCGAAAAGGTTTTGGAGGCCTGGTTAACCACTCATTTGGAGGCTTATCGGAGCCTGAAAATACACAATCTGAAGCTTCGTTCAGCTCCATGGGCAGTGATTTTGTCTCCATAGCCAACAGAGTAACAGGCTCTGCTTTCTTAGCCAAAGTTTGTCGTTGTTTGGCAAAACCTTTTACAGCAAGTTCACGAAGCTGTCGGCTAGTCAAAGTGTTTGGACAAGCTAA